CTCCGGAGAGCTATGATACGGGTGTGACCCAGTAGCCTGGTCTGAGATGAGTTTTCTGTGTCCAGCGTGGCTCAGTTGGCTGGTCAGTGGCTGGATACCCAACTCAGCCACGCTGGAAACAGACACCCTCTCCAGTGCCCATACCGTTTAGGGGCATTTTGTGGTGTGGTCCTGGCTTTACTTGAGTCTGGGCCACAGCTAACTTGAGAAATGAGAACTGGCAGAGGTGTGGCAGAATGCATGTGCTGGTTGCTGCATTGTTAGGTTTCATCACCCTCTGGTGGCCACGTGCTTTACTACTGGCTCTTCCCACCAGAACAATCTCAGTCAGCAGTTGCTCATAAATTGGTTACTTAGTGTACAGTAGAAGCCACATTTATTCAGTCTGTGGTCTGGGACCTGGTTACCATGTAACATCCCAGAGGGTGGTGCCTGCCTCTTTAATTTAATTTTTGTTGCCAGTCCTGGGCTTGAACTCAGGGTTTATGCTCTATCCCGAGCTTTTTTTTTTTTTGCTCTACCACTTGCGCAACAGTTCTATATCTGGCTTCTTGGTGCTTAATTGGAGAATCTCACAGACTTTCCTGCTCAGGTTGACTTGGAGCCACGGTCCTCAGATCTCAGCTTCCTAAGTAGTTAGGATTACAGGGATGAGCCACCCTTGTTCGGTTCTGTGAATGTTTTAGTTTTTTATTTCTGTGCCCATCCTGAGGCACAAATTTAGGGCACAGTGCTGTTCCTGAGCTTTTGTGCTCAAGGATAACACTTTACCACTTTGAGCCACAGCTCTACTTCCTGCATTTTGGTGGTTTGTTGGAGATAAGTCTCATGGAGGGGCTGGGAAGGTGGCTCAGGGGTAGAGTGCTTGCCTCGCATGCATGAGGCCCTGGGTTCGATTCATTAGCACCACATAAGAAGAAAAAGCCAGAAGTGGCTCTGTGGCTCAAGGGGTAGAGTGCTAGCCTTGAGCTGAAGAGCTGAGGGACAGCGCCCAGGCCCAGAGTTCAAGTCCTACAGCCAACAAAAAAAAGAGAGAGGACAGAGAAAAGGAGAGAAGACAGAAAGAGAGAGGAGAGAGAAGTCGGAGAAAAAGATGGAGAACAGAGCCAGAGATGAAGATATGGAAGAATTAGGAGCAGGGAAGAGGGGACAAGCATGGAGTGGACAGGTCAGCCAGCATTGGGGCCAGTCCAGTGGCACATTGGGCTGAGCCCTGGATTGGGCACTCACAATGTGGCTTTCAGGAGCCTTTACGGCCTGGAGGTATTTGGGGTGCTGTGGGGTGGGGCAGATGGAGTGAAGGCCTGGAGCGCTGGGCCCACAAGAGCGGGGGTGGCCTGGCTGGGCAGCAGATGTGCCTTCCAAAGGAGATGTTCCCAGGTGGCAGCGCCTGCATGTCCCAGCTGGGCACTGGAGACCCGGCTACTCATGCAGTCCGGCCATGTAGCTTGGGCTCAGGACCTTGTGCACAATCTACAAAAGAGGCAGCCTGGCACTGGTGGCTCCTGCCCATCATCCTAGCTACTCAGGAGGCTGAGATCTGAGGATCCTGGCTCAAAGCCAGTGTGGGCAACAAAGTCCATGAGACTCTTTTTGTTTGTTGGTTTGTTTTTTGTTTTTTGGTCAGTCGTGGGGCTTGAACTCAGGGCCTGGGCACTGTCCCTGAGCAATTCAGCTCAAGGCCAGCACTCTACCGCTTGAGCCACAGTGCCATTTCTAGTTTTCCGGTGGTTCACTGGAGATAAGAATCTTACGGGCTTTCTTGCCCTGGCTGGCTTTGAACCACGATCCTCAGATCTCAGCCTCCTGAGGAGCTAAGGATTACAGGTGCATGGCCTCCTTGAGACTCTTTTTTGTTGTTGTTGTTCCGGTCGTGGGGCCTGAACTTTGGGCCTGGGCGCTGTCCCTCAGCTCTTCAGCTCAAGGGTAGCGCTCTACCACTTGAGCCACAGCACCACTTCCGGCTTTTTTCTTTTTGCTTATGTGGTGCTGAGGAATCGAACCCAGGGCCTCATGCATGCAAGGCAAGCGCTCTACCACTGAGCCACGTCCCAGCCCCACACATTTTTTTGGGGGGGTCCGGTCATGGGGTCTGACCTCTGGGCCTGGGCGCTGTCCCTCAGCTCTTCAGCTCAAGGCTAGCGCTCTACCACTTGAGCCACAGCGCCACTTCCGGCTTTTTTCTTTTTGCTTATGTGGTGCTGAGGAATCAAACCCAGGGCCTCATGCCTGCAAGGCAAGCACTCTACCACTGAGCCACCTTCCCAGCCTTCCTTGAGACTCTTTTTTTTTTTTTGTCGGTCGTGGGACCCGAACTCTGGGCCTGGGCACTGTCCCTCAGCTCTTCAGCTCAAGGCGAGCTACCACTTGAGCTACAGCGCCACTTCTGGTTTTCTGGTGGTTTGTTAGAGATAAGAGTTTCATGGTCTTTCCTGCCCGAGCTGGCTTTGAACCGCAATCCTCAGATCTCAGCCTCCTGAGGAGCTAAGGATTACAGGTGCATGGCCTCCTTGAGACTCTTTTTTGTTGTTGTTGTTCCGGTCGTGGGGCCTGAACTTTGGGCCTGGGCGCTGTCCCTCAGCTCTTCAGCTCAAGGGTAGCGCTCTACCACTTGAGCCACAGCACCACTTCCGGCTTTTTTCTTTTTGCTTATGTGGTGCTGAGGAATCAAACCCAGGGCCTCATGCCTGCAAGGCAAGCACTCTACCACTGAGCCACCTTCCCAGCCTTCCTTGAGACTCTTTTTTTTTTTTTGTCGGTCGTGGGACCCGAACTCTGGGCCTGGGCACTGTCCCTCAGCTCTCCAGCTCAAGGCTAGTGCTCTACCACTTGAGCCACAGCGCCACTTCCGGCTTTTTTCTTTGTGCTTATGTGGTGCTGAGGTATCGAACCCAGGGCCTCGAGCATGCAAGGCAAGTGCTCTACCACTGAGCCACGTCCCAGCCCCACACATTTTTTTGGGGGGGTCCGGTCATGGGGTCTGACCTCTGGGCCTGGGCGCTGTCCCTCAGCTCTTCAGCTCAAGGCTAGCACTCTACCGCTTGAGCCACAGCACCACTTCTGGCTTTTTTCTTTTTTCTTATGAGGTGCTGAGGAATCGAACCCAGGGCCTCAGGCATGCAAGGCAAGCACTCTACCACTGAGCTACCTTCCTAGCTCACTTTTTTTTAAAATCACCAATGAACCACCAAAAAAGCCAGAAGTGAAGCTATGGCTCAAGTGGTAGAGCACTAGCCTTGTGCAAAATAAGCTCAGGGACAATGCCCAGGCCCTGAGTTCAAGCCCATGACCCCAGGCAGGATGAGCCCTGCCAGCATCAAGGCTGTGACTAAGGACCCTGCCCTCACTGGTTTTCTGGGTGCAGAGGCCTTCTCCCTCAGTCTGCACACCCTCTCCTCCACCTCCCAGTCCCCGCCTGGCTATTTCAGGCTTGCGCCTGCCGCTGTCTTGAGTGGGTGCCTTAAACATGGGTTTCTCAAAATAGCCACTGCCTGCCTGTTTCCCCCGCTGCGCCTGCTGCGCCCAGCTGGCTCGTGGGTCTGCCCAGCCGCAGCTGCTCTCAGAGGGCCTGGGAGAAGGCCCAGCATCGGCTGTACGTGTTGGGGGGGGCCACAGGCCATGTCCTAGCCCCTGTGCTGAATCTGAACCCACACCCCATACGCTGAGATGCTTTATGCACAAGTCTATCTGATTATCAGAGCCCCCGTCCAGACCCTCATCCCTGCGCATGCAGGGAAACTGAGGCACAGCCATCAGAGATGGATCCCGTAATTCCACAGTTGGGTGGCATCACAGCTTGGCTTTGTGTCCAGCATCTCATCTCTGGCTCATGGGATCCATCCCTCCTGATGACCCAGCTTGGTACGTATACACACAGAGCTCAATTAGTGACACTTTCAGCCCCCCTGGTGTGACAAGGTTGGAGCCAGGGGCTCAGCAAGCACCACTTTAAGAAGCACCACTTGGGACAGGGAGGAGTGATGTGGGGCCTGATGGCCTTTCTGCGCATGTGGAGCTTGTCACCAAGCCCAAGTGGTCCAGACTGAGGGAGGAGGCTCAGGGCAATCATCCACACCAGGCAGAGCCGAGCAGGCAGCTGGATACACCTTTATTTCATGGTCGAGGGACAAGTTTGGGGGTGGGTTGGGCTGCAGAAGAACCCAGCAGGGGGCCTAGGTCTCCTCCCTCAGACCCCAGGGCCTGTGCCTCTCTCTTTGGCCAGCCACTCCACCCTCAGACTGGCAGAACAATCAGGTCTGATGGTGGGGACACTCCCTCCTTGGACTCTGGAGTGTTTAGGCAAAATCTCAGAAGCAGAAGGAAGAATGAGGCACCAGTGGTTCACTCCTGTAATCCCAGGTACTCAGGAGGCTGAGATCTAAGATCAAGGCTCTAAGCCAGGGCTGGGAAGGTGGCTCAGTGGTAGAGGGCTTGCCTTGCATGCATGAGGCCCTGGGTTTGATTCCTCAGCACCACATAAGCAGAAAAAGCGGGAAATGACACTGTGGCTCAAGTGGTAGAGTGCTCTCCTTGAGCTGAAGAGCTGAGGGACAGCACCCAGGCCCAGAGTTCAAGCCCCACAACCCACCAAAAAAAAAAAAAAGGTTCTAAGTCAGCCCAGGCAGGAAATACCATGAGACTCTTATCTCCAACTAACCAGTAAAAAGCTGGAAGAGGAGCTGTGGTTCAAGTGGTAGAGAGCTAGCCTTGAGTTAAGAAAGAAAAGAAAAGAAAAAGAAAGCTCAGGGACAGCACCCAGGCTCTGAGAATGGGCAAGAGAGAGAGAGGGTGGGAGGGAGAGAGAGGGAGGAGGGAGGAAAGAAAAGGAAAAAAAAAGGAAAGAGGGAAGGGAAGGGAAGAGCCTCTAAGCCAAAAGCAGCGGCAGGGGGAATTCTGGGGCACAATCCATGTTTCTCGGGTCCCGTTTGCAGGGGAGGGGTGCAGGGCTGTGTTGGCAGTTCCCATGGGGTGTGGGCAGGGCAAGGGGTGGGTGCCCAGGCTCAGTCCTCTTCCTCGCTGGCATAGATACGGGCCTCCCAGCGCTCCGCCATGGCGTTCTTGTGACGTGTCACCCGCGTGGCTCCCAGCACCTGCCACACAAGGGGGCCCGGGGTCGCCATTGGTTCCTGACCACCACCCCATCTCCCCAGGCAATTTACAGGAAAGGCTGGGAACAGGGGTAAAGTAAGAACAAATTTTCTTCTATTTCAGTCTCTCCCTCTATCCCCCAGCAATAGGACTAAGTTCATGCTGGATAGCAGCAGCTCAAGGAGAATGATAGATGATCAATGTTGCTAATCATTGGAGGTAGCTAGGCTGTCCCCACCTCTCCTTGAAAAGAGGTGCCTTTGCCAAACAGAGTGGCAAAGGATCCTAGCACGGGGAGGCTGAAGCAGGAGGATTGTTTCAGCCTAGGAGTTTGTGTTGTAGACTGGGAGAAATAGCCTTGCTGAGCACCAATGGCTCAAGGCCTGTAATCTTAGTTACTCAGGAGACTGAGTTCTGAGGATCATGGTTCTTAACTCCAGTGAGCTTCTAGAAGCCCAGATGTAGAGTTGTGGCTCAAATGGTAGAGTGCTAGCCTTGAGCCAAAAATGCTAAAGGACAGCACCCAGGCTTCAAGCCCCAGGACTGGCAAAAAGAAAAGAAAAGAAACATCCTTGTTCAGAGTCTAATCTACTATAATTTTCACCATCAGATAAAAAGGCAGCACACAGATCCCTTGCTATAATCTGCCCAGGGTAGACATCATCAGTAGATGACTGCAAAATCTACCTCGGCAGACATGACCAATGGAACAGATACCTAGTACAATCCCACAGGGAGAAGAAAGGCCTTCAAAGGTCCAGGTGATGAGGAGAGAGGAGATGAACAGGGAAGGGCGTGGAGTCCTTGGAGATCACTCACCTCTGAGTTGACACGATCCGAGGGGTTGATGCCTGCATACTGGAAGAGGAATGAGAGTGAGCTCAGGTCCTTTCTGCCCTGCCCTCGTGCCTGCCTTCAAGTTCACACCTGGGGCAGAAGGGAGGCATTCCCTGCCCAGGGAGTAACCCCCAGGTTCCAGGGTCACCCCCAAATTCAAAGCCATCTGCTGTACCTGCACAGTCTGGCCCCTCCACAGACAGACTCTACTCACCCACAGCTCCTTCTTCTTCTGCCCGGGAGCGCTCTCTGTCGGGGCCTGCGCAGTCCACACCAGGCCGGAGTGCAGGTGGATGGGGGTGAACAAGGGGGACTCTGACACCGAGTAGCTACCTGTAATACCTGTGGAGAATAAGAGAAGCAAAGGATTAGAGAGAGTGGAATGCTTGTCAAACCTTAACTTGGAGACACAGGCCTCTGTCCGAGAGGCTGAAGCTGTGAAGAAGATGGCGACAAGGTGATCAAAATATCATCTCACAAGGGCTGGGAAGGTGGCTCAGTGGTAGAGCGCTTGCCCTGCATGCATGAGGTCCTGGGTTCGATTCCTCAGCACCACATAAGCAAAAAAAGAAAAAAAGCTGGAAGTGGCGCTCTGGTTCAAGTGGTAGAGCACTAGCTTTGAGCTGAAGAGCTGAGGGACAGTGCTCAGGCCCAGAGTTCAGGCCCCACGACCGGACCCCCCCAAAAAAAATCAACTCACAAAATACTGGATAGACTGACCAAGCAAAAAAAAAAAAAAAAGCACAAAGCCTTATGGAGAATATTTTGTATTGAGCAAGAAGACCAACCAAGAGCCTGGTACCAGTGGTACGAAGGAGGCTGAAATCTGAGGATCACGGTTTGAAGGCAGCCTGGGCAGGAAAGTTAGTGGGATCTTTCCTTCCTTCCTTCCTTCCTTCCCCCTTTCTTCTTCCTTCTTCTTCCTCCTCCTTCTCCTTCTTCTTTTTATTAATGTTTTTTTTTATTGTGAAAATACCATACATTGGGTTTATAGTTACACAAGCAAGGTAATGAGTACATTTCTTATCAAGCATTGTTGCCTCCTCCATTGTTTTTCCTTTACCATCCCTGCCCCCCCATCTCCACGACCACACTCCCCGCCTTCTTCTTCTTTTTCTTCTCTTCCTCCCCCCCCACCTCCTCCTCCTCCTCCTCCTTCTTCTTCTTTGTCCTGGGGCTTGAACTTTATGGCCTGGCAACTGTCCCTGAGCTTCTTTGGCTAGCACTCTACTTCTTGAATCACTCCACTGCTTGCCTCTTTCAGTCCTTTCTGTTTATGTGGTACTGAGGAATTGAACCCAGGGCTTCATGCATGCTAGGCAAGCACTACCCCTAAGCCACATTCGCAGCCCCTGTGAGCCTTTTATCTCCAACACACACACACACACACACACACACACACACACACAGACAACCAAAAACCAAACCAAAACAAAACCCAGAAGTGGCGCTGTGGCTCAAGTGGTAGAGCGCTAGCCTTGAGCAAAAAAGGTAAGGGACAGTGCCCAGGCCCTGAGTTCAAGCCCCAGGACTGGCATTCCCCCCCCAAAAAAAAATTAACCAACCAAAAAGATAAACATCTGTGAAACACAATGCATTTAATAACAAAACATTCAAATCCATAAAGCAAAGACCTGAAGGCAAATCTGACATTTCCCTTCAAAATCTGCTAACGGAGCTGGCTGGGAGATACTGTCACCCCCCCAAACCTCACCTCTCTACCCTCCTTATTCCACCCTGAAAACCCCAAGCAAAACAGTCATGCCCTGTTCCCCTCCTTACCAGACGCCCGGGAAGAGCTCCTGGAGTCTTGCTCCAAGTCTTCAGCTGGTGTTGGGGAGAAGACCTCGGGGAAGAAGGCGTTCCTCCGCTCCTCTGCCACCTCCCTCTCACGACGCAGAACATTCTCCACCTCCTTCTCCAGCAGATCTGATGACTGAGATCTCTGCAGCCTCAGAACTGGGGCCCCATCCACCTCCCAGCCCCAGACATGGGGTGTCTCAGCCTGCTGGGGGACATCGGGGACCCAGAACCTCAGGGGACGCAGAAGGAAGTACTCCCTTCGCACCACACCCCTGTTGACTTTCAGGGACCCCCGTGGGGGCTTGGAGGGTGCTTGCTTTGTGCTCAAGGGTTTGACAGAAGATTCTGAGCGGTGCCTTGGAGATCCTGTAGCCTTCAGAGGGGCCGCTGCTTTGGCCTCTTCTGTGGAGGGGCCATCCAGCTTGCTGTACACTCGGAAGGCTGAGAATTCTTGTTGGGGTGTCCCAGATCCCAGGTATGGCTGGTAGGCATCCAGTGGGATTCGATTGACCTTTCTCACTTCTGGAGCTTGATCGGCTGCCCGGGCATCGGGGACAGGGTCAAGGATGGAGTCTGAGCTGAAGCTTCTACTGAGTCCGAGCTGGGGACCCTCAGAAACCCAATCGGGGGTTGAGGCCCGACCCACTTGCAGCCCCTCTCTCCGGTGGTCTTCCTCACGCTGCGTCTCCTGCACCATGTCCCGCTGGACGTAGAGAGACGGGCGGCCCCTGTCCCGCCGTGGGGGCTCCACCAGGTTCACCTTGCTCAGCACTGGCCTGGTGGGGATCAGAACCAGCTCTTGGTGGCTGGTTGCCCGCTGGAGGCCCCTCTGCTGCCGCAGATCGGCCTCCCGCTCCTGGGCCAGTCGGATCTCACGCTCGATGGGGGTCTCCTTGGAAGGTTCTGGAGATGGCACCTGGTTCTGGGAGCTAGGGCTGCCTGGGCTGCGGAGGCTGGGCTCCACAGGCAAACCATGGCTCCTCTTCTCCTTGACCCCCTCCTTCACCTGGGGTGTGACAGGGACCACATGCCCATTGGCTACACGGGGCCCATTCAAGGCCTTGGGGGCCTGGCTGTGCCCGGGTGTGGTGCGGGGAGGGGCTGCCCTGCCTAGGGGAGTCTGCGGGACAGAGTTCAGGGTCGCCTGCTCCAGGCTCAGGAACTGTTGTCTGGCTGCGAGAAAGTCAATCTGCTCACTGTCCACCAAATTCTCCTCCAGGGGAAGGGACTGAGGTTGACTGGGGCATCTGGAGCCCCCACGGTCTGCGGTGCCCCAGAGCGTGGCCACTGTACCACCCTTTTTGACCGCTTGGCCTTGGATGACCGCCCAGCGCTCCTGCTCCAGGTCCTGGGGCTGTCTGAGGACTGTCTCACTGGCATCTAAGTAGTAAGTCTTCATTTCCTCGTCATCATCTTCCTCCAGGTAGAGGGGCCGAGGGGACAGATGGCTGGAGGCTAGCCTGCTGCAAGATGCCCCTGTCCTTCCCATGTTTAGCTGGGCCTCACGGTCAGTGTCCCACATCTGGGGTGCATCCAGGCCCCAATTGTTGGCCTCAGGTCCCACACCCACTAGTTCAATGGCATAGCTGTTGTCTCCCTCGAGGGCCAGGCCAGTGATACGGCTTGAGTGGGATCTGCTGAAAATGGGGTATCTGGTCACCCGGTCCATCTCCCTGAGGAGAACTTATTCCTTGAATGGAGACCTCTGGGCTTGCTAAGGGAAGGAAAAAAAAAAAAAGATATGAACTCATTGGGTTTGAGGAGGGACAATTTCTAGTCTTTTACGTTTAAATTTAGAGGTTATATAGCAAATGGCCTCTGAGATCGGCTGAGAGCTAGGTAATGTAATGGGTAATTGACCCTCCCAGCCTGGCCAATCACGGCCTTCTGCTCTCTGGCTTCTGTGATTGGTTGGAACAATAGGGACGTGATTCAGGCAGGCCAATCAGAGCATTCTTCACGCTGATCCTGTCTGGCCAGTTTATAGCATCCTGCCCTTTAGCCTTTATGATTGGTTCAGAGCTAGATAAGTGACCCAACCAGGCCAATAACAGAAAATGAGACTTTATCCTTTATTTTGTTCATTTATTTTTGGTGTGTGCTGGTACTGGAACTTGAACGCTCTCTCTTAGATTTTTCACTCAAGGATAACAACTGCTTGAGTCACAGTTTCACTTCTGGCTTTTGGTGGCTCACTAGAGATAAGAGTCTTATAGAATTTCCTCCCCAGGGCTGGCTTTGAACTGGCACTTGGAACTCTCTATTCTTTCTGAGTTGGGGAGCTACACTCCTAATCATAAGCGATAAAGGGCTTGTTACCCAAGCTATGGCCAAGACAGGTGCTGCTTATTATTCAAAAACTTGGAGCTACAATTGAGGTTCTTTCAAACTCAGGGACAGGGATGAGTTGCAGGACTTTCCTTTGCCAGATAGGCCCTTTAACTTTCTGTCTATGAGGATCATGGTTCAAAGCCAGCCTAGGCAGAAAAGTCTTCAAGATTCTATCTCTAATGAAGCAGCAAAAACCTGGAAGTGATTTGGGTACCAGTGGCTCATGCCTATAATCTAAGCTTCTCATGAGGCTGAGATCTGGAGACCAAGATTGGAAAAAAGTTCAGGAAGAAAAGTCTGGGAGAGGGCTGGGAAGGTGGCTCAGTGGTAGAGGGCTTGCCTCACATGCATGAGGCCCTGGGTTCGATTCCTCAGCACCACATAAACAGAAAAAGCTGGACGTGGTACTGTGACTCAAGTAGTAGAGCGCTGAAGAGCTGAGGGACAGTGCTTAGACTCAGAGTTTAGGCCCCACAACAGACAAAAAAAAAAGAAAAAAGAAAGTAAACTCTGGGAGACTCCTATTTCCAGGGCAGGGTGGAGTGGGATGGGTTGGGGGGAGGGGAGCTAGATTAGAGTCTCATGAATTTGCCCAGGATGTCTCCAAACTATAATCTTCAGCCTCCTAAGTAGCTAGGATTAGGGATTATAGACATAAGCCATTGGCCATCAGCTAATATTGTGTGTGTGTGTGCACCTGTGTGTGTGTGTGTGTTGGTTCTAGGCCTTGAACTTGGCCTGAGCGCGCTCCCTGAGCCTCTCTGTGCTCAAGGCTAGTGCTCTACCATTTGAGCTACAGTGCTACTTCCGGGTTCTGAGTGGTTAATGGGAGATGAGAGTCTCATGGGGACTTTCCTGTCTGACCTGGTTTGAACAGTGATCCTCAGATCTCAGCCTCCGGAGCAGCTGGGATTACAGGCATGAGCCACGGATGCTTAGTCACCTCATCGATCCATCCTGCCTCTGGCCTCTGGCAGAACAGCATCTGGATTCTTGGTTTCCACATCCTGTTCTGCCCCACTCCCACTCATCTAGGCTGCCCCCTGCCTCTACCTCCCCCTTGGCAGGTATCATCCACAGCCCCATAAAGCCAGGATGAGCCACCAACACCTTGGACCTTGTCCCTGGGCACAGGAGGGGCCATGGACTCAAGGTGACACCCTAGGCCAGTGTCCTGAGGTCCCTGCTCTCATGTATCCTTGACAAGGTGGCACCCAGCTTTTATTGGCTGTATCTCTTGATGTCCACCGGTTTGGTGCTCAGGGTCACCCTGTGACCTCAGCCCAGCCCTCCAGATTGCCAGCACAGCCTATTCTACCTGTAGCCACCTGGGTCCCCAGCTCATACGACACCTCTTCCAGGAAGGTCCCTGATTATGTGATATTATTACTGCCATAATCTGCTGGTGGTACATCCATTTGTATATACCAAAGATTATGGCCAGAACTGGTAGTTCAGGCCTGCAACCCTAGCTACTCACAAGACTGAGATCTGGAGGATCAAGATTCAAAGAACCTTAGGCAGAAAAACCTAGGCAGAAAAATCCACAAGACTATTACTCAAATTAATCAGTGAAAAGCTGTAGTAGTGGCATGGCTCAAGTGGTAGAGCACCAGTCATAGGCAAAAAAAAAAAGGATTTAAAAAAACAACTGAGCAAAAGCTGGGCACTAGTGGCTCACACATTTAATCCTAGCTACTCAGGAGGCTGAGATCTGAGGATCATGGTTCAAAGCCAGCATGGGCAGAAAAGTCTGTGAGACTTTTTTTTTTTTTTGCCAGTCCTGGCCCTTGAAGTCAGGGCCCAGGCACTGTCCCTGAGCTTCTTCTACTCAAGGATAGTGTTCTACCACTTGAGCCACAGCACCACTTCCGTGGTGCTGTATGTGGTACTGAGGAATCGAACCTAGGGCCTCATGCATGCTAGGTGAGCCTTGTACCACTAGGCCATGTGAGATTCTTTTTTTTTTTTTTTGGGTCCAGTCGTAGGCCTGAACTCTGGGCCTGGGCACTGTCCCTCAGCTCTTCAGCTCAAGGCTAGCACTCTACCACTTGAGCCACAGCGTGACTTCCAGCTTTTTTCTTTTTGCTTATGTGGTGCTGGGGAATCGAACCCAGGGCCTCATGCATGCAAGGCAAGCGCTCTACCACTGAGCCACCTCCCCAGCCCCTCTGTGAGACTCTTATCTCCAATTAACCACCAGAAAAACTGGAAGTGGCATTGTGGTTCAAGTGGTAGAGCGCTTGCCTTGAGCTGAAGAGCTCAGGAACAATGCCCAGGCCCAGAGTTCAAGCCCCATGACCAAAACAAAACAAAACCAAAAAGCTGAGCAAGGATGCAAGGCCTTGAGTTCAAGCCCCAATAACAACACCTATAATTAGGAGACTTAGGGGCTGGGAAGGTGGCTCAGTGGTAGAGTGCTTGCCTCGCATGTATGAGGCCCTGGGTTCGATTCCTCAGTACCACATAAGCAGAAAAAGCCAGAAGTGGCGCTATGGCTCACATGGTAGAGCGCTAGTCTTGAGCTGAAGAGCTGAGGGACAGTGCCCAGGCCCAGAGTTCAGGCCCCAGAACCAACAAAACAAAAACAAAAAAGGAAACTTAATCAATAAACTCCAGCCAAACAGAACTGACTGAGCCTTAGCCTTGTAAAGTAGTCAGTCTGCAGCCCTTACCCCAGCTTTTCTTTTTTTAAAAATTTTTTTATTGGTTGTGGAGCTTGAACTCAGGGCCTAGGCTCTGACCTGAGCTCTTTTGCTCAAAGCTAGTATTCACTCTACTACTTTGAGTCACAGCTCCACTTCCAGTTTTTCGGGTAGTTAATTGGAGATAAAAATCTCATGGACAGGGGCTGGGAAGGTGGCTCAGTGGTAGAGCGCTTGCCTTGCATGCCTGAGGCCCTGGGTTCGATTCCTCAACGCCACATAAGCAAAAGGAAAAAAGCCAGAAGTGGCGCTGTGGCTCAAGTGGTAGAGTGCTACCCTTGAGCTGAAGAGCTGAGGGACAGCACCCAGGCCCAGAGTTCAGGCCCCACAACCGGACGCCCCCCCCAAAAAAAATCTCATGGACAGCCCGGTGCCAGTGGCTCATGCCTGTCATCCTCCCTACTCAGAAGGCTGAGATCTGAGGACTATAGTTCAAAACCAGCTTCATTGGCCTGGCACTGGTAGCTCATGCCTGTAATCCTAGCTACTCAGGAGGCTGAGATCTGAGGCTCGTGGTTCAAAGCCAGCCCAGGCAGGAAAGTCCATGAGACTCTTATCTCCAATAAACCACTCAGAAAACCGGAAGTGGCGGTGTGGCTCAAGTGGTAGAGCGCTAGCCTTGAGCTGAAGAGCTGAGGGACAACACCCAAGCTCAGAGTTCAAGCCCCACGACCAATAAAGAACAAAACATTAAAAACTCCACCACCACCAACAAAAAAAACAGGAAATGTTTCAGTTGAAGGTTGTGTCTCCCCTGGCATGAAATCATCATTCAGGATCTCCTCCACCCGAGCCTACAACAGGCTTTCCAGAAAAGACTGAAGCCAGGTGTGATGACTCATGCTTATGATCCTAGCTACTTTGGAGGCGGAGATTTGGAGCATTGTAGTTTGAGCATATCAAGTTTGTGAGACTCCATTTCAATCTGCAGAGGTGAGTGTGGTGAAGCACATCTCTTATCTCAGATACAGGAAAAGGCAAAATGTAGGAGGATCACAGTCCAGGCTGACCCAAATATAAAGTGAGACTCTACTTCAAAAATAGTGGGGCGCTGGTGGCTCATGCTTGTAATCCTAGCTACTCAGGAGGCTGAGATCTGAGGATTGAGGTTCAAAGCCAGCCTGGGCAGAAAAGTCCATGAAACTCGTATCTCCAATTTAAAAAACCCACCAGAAAACTAGAAGTGGGGGTTGGGAAGGTGGCTCAGTGGTAGAGTGCTTGCCTTGCATGCATGAGGCCCTGGGTTTGTTTCCTCAGTACCACATAAGCAGCAAAAGCTGGAAGTGGTGCTGTGGCTCAAGTGGTAGAGCGCTAGTCTTGAGCTGAAGAGCTGAGGGACACTGCTCAGGCCCAGAGTTTAGGCAAAAGGGAGTTGGAAACATAGCTCAAGTGACAAAGCACTTGCCCAACAAACTTTGAGGTGATTCTCCAGTACAGCCAAAAGTGGCTTTGTCAACACCATGTACTCCAAGCACTGACACAGGTCTTGCAGACACAGCTGCTCTTCCAGCCCAGTACTGGCCCTGAAGGACAACCCAAGGTCATACCGTCTCACACCTGAGACAGGTACACTCCTACCTTAGGAGTATCCATCATATTCACAGACCTTTTGGGGGACCTGAAGGGGTCTTGTGGCCAGACTGTGAGTGTCTCTCTTCCCTCTGGTAGGGTAAAGATAGGGGTACCCCCAATTCTGCCTCATTCTTCCCTGTGAGTCTCAGAGGGCAGTGGGTCTAGAGTTCAAGGCTATGGGTGGACAGGACATTGTAGCCTCTGCTTTTCTCTTTATTTTTGTCCATGTGGGTCTTGAACTCAAGGCCTGGGTGCTATCTCTGAGCTCTTTTACTCAAGGCTAGCACTCTGACACTCTGAACCACAGCACCACTTCTGGTTTTCCAGTGGCCAATTGGAGAGAAGAGTCTCACAGATTTTCCTGCCCAGGCTGGCTTTGAACTGCGATCCTCACATCTCAGCCTTCTGAGTAGCTAGGATTACAGGTGTGAGCCACTGGTGCCCAGCCTAGATGTTACTTAGTGCAGCACGCTGAGCTTGGCAAATAGTAGGTGCCCAATAAATGTTCTCACAGTGGTTTCAGACCTTATTATTTTTTATGTCCATATTGAGGATTGAGCTCAGGGCCTAGATGCTATCTCTGAGCTTTTTTTTTTCTCAAGGCTGGTGCTCTACCGCTTGAGCCATGGCTCCACTGCAAGCTTTTTTTCTGGTTAATTGGAGAGAAGAGAGTCCTGGACTTTCCTGCCCGGGCTGACTTTGAACCTCAATCCTTAGATCTCAGCCTCCTGAATAACTAAGATTACAGGTGTGAGCCATCAGCACTGGGCTAGACTTTATTTCTGTCAGGGTAGGGTCCCCTGAAGGGGCCATGATGGATGGAAAGGGGGACCAGCATACACAGAGGCTCCAGTGGGGAACTGCCCCCCCCTCCACTAGTGTCCCCAGGAGCACTCAGTCCTTATGAGGATCACTCATCTCCCGGATTGATTTTAGAGGGAACTGAAGCCCCAAGACAAGTGCTCTTCTGGGGAAGGTGAAGAGAAGTTGATAATGATTCCCACAGCTGAGCCCTCTCCCAGCCCAACTGGCTGCTTCCTATAGGAAGCCTCTGTGGATTGCTCCGTCCTGCTCTGCCCACCCCCATCCTGTAACGAACTTGGGATCCAGACCGAAACTTCATTTATGGTTCCTTTGCTTTGTGATGCACCTGCCTCCTCTGGCCAACTGCCCAAGGGGCAAAGGCTGCCTGGGGGCCAGCAGGTCACCCACAGGGAGAGGCCCCTGGGAGTCCCCAGCCTTCCCGTGGATTAAGGTCATCCCTGTCATGGGGAATTCCAGCCTGAGCCCTATCTGGTGTCCCATTCACAGGCTGATCCTCACCAGACCCGACCAGATTGGAGGGGGTCCCAGCCCCAGACTCTGAGACACTCCCTCAGCATAATTGGCCAGGACTCCCCAGGGGTGCCCAGAAAAAAAATAGGGGCCTCATGGCTTCTGGCTATAGGGTCATTGTGGGGCTAGTCCCTCCCTTGGAAATTTAGAGGTTCAAGATGTTAGGATTGGGGGTACACACGGAAACCCCCAGAAATCTCAGAGCTAAGATGCAAAGACTAGCTTGAGATGCGGTGGGAGAAGAGAATACGGGGTAGGCATGGGGGGAGGGGAGCTCCCTGTGCCTTGAAGGCCCCTCAAATAAGCTGACCATGCCCAGGACACGTGACCCTCCCCCGGGCTCCAGACAGCCTCACGCAGGCCCCACTCTGCGTGGGACCCCCTCACCCCGGCCTTATCCACCAACTCCAGGGGCCTCTTGGTCACCCCTAGAACTCTAACCTTCCGATTCTGGCTCCTCCCCTTTCCCCGAGTTGCTAGGAGACAAGAGGCCCCACCTGGGGAGCCGGGCCCCTCCACCCAGCCCCACCCAGGCTCTGAAAACAAAGTCCAGAGTTGAAGGGAGAAAGAGGACACCGGGAGGAGAGTGGGCGGCCCAGTGCGCACACAGGTGGGGCTGGGGGGTGAAGGTTGGGGGGAAGGGAGCTGGGGAGACTGGGGGTGGGGTTGGGTAGGCTTGGCCCATGGAGCCTGAACTCATCTCAAAGGCCTTGAAGTTACCACCGCCACCAGCGGGCACCGCCCAGCTTTCCCGCTCCTGCGGCCACCAGTGCCCACGGCTCTGGGCCTGACTGTTTTGTGGAGCTGGGCACCAAGCCCTAAGTCCAGCCTCATTTTTCCCATCCAGGAAACAGGCGATGCTGTGGTGTTTGACTCCCATGGAGCCATGGGAGAATTCCCCCAGGAATCTCCTGTCCACAGGAGATTTCTGGGGGGTTTTGAGATACTCCAAAACACTGACAAGGAGGGCGCAAGGTTCAGGCCGAATCTGGGTGGAGGGTTAGAGACTGCAGGGCCAGGATGGCTCAGCCCTGCGCTGTGTGTCCCCTAGGGTTGGGGTTTTGCCATGTCTCACCCCACGGAGGGGGTCCTCTGACCCCCCCCCCCCCAGCTCTCCTTCTAGGCAAACCTGCAGAGCTCATGCCTGGAATGCCAGTTACTCAGAAGGCTGAGGCCTGAAGATCGTGGTTCAAATCCAGCCTGGGTAGGAAAGTCCATGAGACTCTCATCTCCAAATAAACCACTAAAGAAGCCAGAAATGGAGCTGGGGTTCAAAGTACTCCCCTTAAGCAAAACAACAACAACAACAAAAGGGCAGGGCTCAACTCAGACCCCCGAGTTAAAAGCCCAAATACTGGCACACAAAAATAAACTCTCCCAAATCTCAGGGGACTTAAGAGCAGCTGTAGATAAAGAGGCTGCCAACCCAGATTATGGGGCTCAGCAATGCACCTCTGCCTGCACCCCTTTCCGGCCTCTTCATCCCCGAGTGGCAGATCTGTAAGGTGAGATTCGTCTACAGTGGTCCAGCTGGGATTTGAAGGCAAATAGGTACTCCATGACCACTCCTGGGGGGAAACTGAGGCCCAGAGGGACAGGAACCAGAACACAGTGTCCTGGTGGTGGTGGGGAGGGGGGAGAGGGGAGGGGGAGGAAGGACACAAGGCTCCGATTTTCCTGCCCCTCCCTTCCCAGACTAGAACTGGCCTTCCACTCAGAGTTCCTAAGCTCTTATAAGATCTATGGCAAGGCAACAGGGTCTGAGAGAGAATGGATTGCTGAGCAGGTGTGTGTGTGTGTGTGTGTGTGTGTGTCTGTCTGTCTCTGTGCGTGTGCATGTGCCTCCCTGTCCTCCAACTCCCCTCAGGCTCCCCCCCCTCCCCAAATCCAGTCTCTCTGCTGTGGGGACTCTGGTCAGGCCCTGCTGTTCCCTGGAGGCCATGAGGCCAGCAGAAGCAGCCCTGAAGCTCAGGTAGGGTGTGGCACCTCTATAGCCCTGGGGCCCCACGGGAACCAGGAAACCAGTGAGTCACCTGCAGCCACCCTCGCGGCCCAAGGCCTTACCTGGCCAGGTGCTGAGAAGCAGGTAGAGGCCACAAGCGCCCGGCTCTCCTCCTCCGTAAGGGGTGGTGGTAGTGGGTAGGTGACACCAGCCAGCTTCACCCAGGCCCTGCTGGCGCCTTCCCTTTTATGGCTCCCGTACCTGGCGGCCCCGCCCCGTCCAGCCCCGTCCAGGCCGCACCCCTCTCCCCTCTCCACCCAGGATGAAACTCAAGAAGTCCAGGAAGTGGGGCTTCCACGCTGTTTATTTGCTTCTCTGGGAAAAATCAAGGGGCCTGGTCACAGGTCGAAAGCAGGACTCAGCCAGGGCACTTCAGCGGAGGCTCACGGTTCCAGGGCAGATGTGGGGATAGGCGGTTGGGGGGGATCCCATGGCAGGATCCCCAGCCCCCACCCCCCTCCCAAAGTGGGCGTGACAGAGACTGGAGCCAGGCTCCCGTCTGGGGTGGCTTGTACCCTCCTTTGTGGCTCTGGGTGCTGATGGGACCAAGAAATGGTCTAAGCACTGGGCACCAGGCTAGAGGCCCTGGAGATGGGCCGAGATGGAGCCTGGTGGCCCAAAGCCAGCTTGTGAAGAGAGGGTGTCTGCGTGCGTGGGCACGAATGTGCCTCTGGGGACGAGTGTGGCTGCTCTCCAGGTATGTGTATATGGGGGAGCTTTGCCACTTCCAGGGAGGAGGCCAGGGGAGAAGGGGCTGGGTAGCAAATGGGGGAGTCTCCTGCTCCAACCCATGGGGCCTCACCCCACCCCAGGCTGGACCTCCTTGTCCAGACCCTCTCTGCAGAGCTGGTAAGCAGGGTCTGATTTCCAGGGTATGGTAGGGGGGACCCCAAAACCCCAATCCAAGTAGGCTAAAGGAGAGGCCAAAGGTCACTCCCAGGGATCCCCAAATTAGCACCAGGAGGGAGGAGGGCCCGGGGGGGGGGAGAAAGGGAATGCTTAGGACAAGAAGCCCCCTGCCTCATGTAAGGGGGGAGGCTGTTTGAAGACCCCTAACCTGCTCTGTCTAGAAGCCAGCCCAGGGATGACAGGCCCTTCCCCAGTGGGGGATGTGTCCCCAGCCCCCCCCAGCTCTATTAGCCACTGGCTAAGCCTGGAGGGGGGCACGGCAGACAAGGGGGTCTCCACTTGAAGACCTCAAGGTCCCCCCAAAAGAAGTGTGGCCCTACCCCAACTGCCTGCGACTGGGAAGGCCAATGCTTGACCAGGGAGCCCCACTTCCAAACCTGGGCAGCCCCAAGAACCCTTCAGCTCCCAGTCCCCTTTGAGAATCTTCTAGAAGTGACAGAAAGGCACAGGCGAGCCCGGCCCAGGGCGGCATGGAGTTCACACCAGCCAGGACCACGGTGGGCGTGAGCTGTATCTGTGGAGCTGCCACGATATTGGGGGGTGGGGCCTGGGGGTGTGGGGGGGTCCCTCATTCCTGGAAAATCGTGCCCGCCCATCCCTCCCTCCCTCACCTGGTAAGGGGTGCACGGCTCAGTGATTCGGGGTGAGTGTTGAGTGTGGTGATCAGCAGGGCCCCTGTCCCCTCTCTTTTCCAGCTGAAGGAAATTCGGGGGACACGGAGAACTCAGGCGTGTCCCGGTGTTTGGGGCGGGGGTGGGGAGGGGGCCGTGAAGTAGTGAGTCGAAGGTGGGCAGACTCCAGGAAGGACTGGGCTGCTGGTGGGGTATCGGTGGAGTAGAGGGCAGGGGTGGGGAAGGGAGGGGTGCAGGGGTTCAGGGGAGAGGCCGGGCCGGGTCACATGATGGAGCAACATTTACAGCGCTGTTTCTTCATGTCAAGGTCCTGGGCGTCGGAGGCCGTGGCCTTGGGCCCTGCCGGCTTCTCCTCCTGGGAGCCCTCGGTGGCGGGGGGCTCGGCGGCGCTGCCGTTGGGTGGGGCGGGCTCCTTTGGTTCGGCTGCATCCCCGATCACCACCAGCTCGGCCTTGATGGTGTCCTGCAGCCCCAGCACCTTCTTGGTCTCTGCCTCGTCCTCCACGTTCTGGTAACCCATGAAGATCATGGTGACCGGCGGCTCCTGACCAGGCTGAATGCCCGGGGGTCCTGACGTAGCTTCTCCAGGCTGGGTTTGTACCCCAGTAATCTCTCGTCTGGAAGGTGTGGTCCGGACAGCTTCCTCCGAGGACCCCCGGGGCTCTGCCGGCCCTGCTGTGGACCCTGCTTCACTCAGCGTGACCTCGTCAGCTTTATGGATGAGTTCATCCACCTCGGAGGAACTCAAGGGGTGAATTCCATTGTCAGCTGTACCGTCTACTGCATGGACCACTGTGGGGGGGGGGGAGAGCGAGCGACGGGGAGAGAGAAAGAGAGAGAGAGAATGAGCCTGGCTCCTAGATGCGACATACCAGCTTGGAGGTTTAGCAGGATATCAACACTGATGGCCAGATGTGGTGGTATACTCCTACAATCCCAGCTACTCACACTTGTAATCCTAGCTACTCAGGAGACAGATCTGAGGATCACAGTTTGAAGTCAGCCCAGGCAGGAAAGTCCCTGTGAGACTCATCTTCAATTAACCACTAAAAAACTGGAAGTGAGGGGCTGGGAATGTGGCTTAGTGGTAGAGTGCTTGCCTAGCATGCATGAGGCCCTGGGTTCGATTCCTCAGTACCATATACACAGAAAAATCCGGAAGCCGGGCTGGGAAGGTGGCTCAGTGGTAGAGTACTTGCCTTGTATGCATGAGGCCCTGGGTTCGATTCCTCAGCACCACATAAGCAAAAAGAAAAAAGCCGGAAGTGGCGCTGTGGCTCAAGTGGTAGAGCGCTAGCCTTGAGCTGAAGAGCTGAGGGACAGCGCCCAGGCCCAGAGTTCAGGCCCCACAACCGGACCCAAAAAAAAAAAAAACAGAAGAAAAAAAAAAAGAAAAATCCGGAAGTGGTGCTGTGGCTCAAGTGGTAGAGTGCTAGCCTTGAGCAAAAGAAGCTCAGGGACAGTGTCCAAGCTATCAAGGTTAAGCCACATGACCACAAAATAAAACAAAACAAAAAACCAGCCGGGCACTGGTGGCTCATGCCTGTAATCCTAGCTCCTCAGCCTCTGAGGATCAGGGTTCAAAGCCAGCCCAGGCAGGAAAGTCTTCGAGACTCTTTTTTTTTTTTTTTTTCTGTCGGTCATGGGGTTGAACTCTGGCCCCGGGCGCTGTCCCTCAGCTCTTCAGCTCAAGGCTAGCGCTCTACCACTTGAGCCACAGCGCCACTTCTGTTTTTTCTGGTGGTTCATTGGAGGTAAGAGTCTCGCAGCCAGGTGCCAGTGGCTCACGCCTGTAATCCTAGCTACTCAGGAGGCTGAGATCTTAGGATCTTGGTTCAAAGTCAGCCCGGGCAGGAAAGACCATGAAACTCTTATCCCCAATAAACCACCAGAAATAAACCACCACAGAAAACCAGAAGTGGCGCTGTAGCTCAAGTGGTAGAGCACTCACCTTGAGCTGAAGAGCTGAGGGACAGCATCCAGGCCCAGAGTTCAAGCCCCACGACCGACAAAAAAAAAAGTCTTGCAGACTTTCTTGCCCCGGCTGGCTTTGAACTGTGATTCTCAGATCTCAGCCTCCTGAGTACCTAGGATTACAGGCATGAGCCACTGGCGCCTGGCTCCACAAGACTCTTCTTTCCAATGAACCACCAGAAATCTGGAAGTGGCGCTGTGACTTAAGAAGCAGAGTGTAGCCTTGAGCTGAAGAGCTCAGGGACAGCGCCAAGGCCCAGAGTTCAAGCCCCAGAACCAACAAAAATAAATAAAAAATTAAAATTAAAAAGCAAAAACAAAAACAAAGAACCCCGATGGGTAATTAAAGCTCTCTAAGTATGCCAAAGTGGTATAAAAGCATTTTATTTATTCCTTTATTTGCATGTGCAAGTACTGAGGCTTGAACCCAGGGCCTCTACTCTCACTTGGATTTTTCACTCAGTTTGTGACTCCACCACTTGAGCCACACCGCCACTTAAAGCTTTTTGCTGATTAATTGGAGTTAAGAGTTTCATGGACTTTCTTGTCCCAAGTGGCTTTGAACTGGATCCTCAGATCTCTGTCTCCTGAGTAGCTAGGATTACAGGTGCGAGCCACTGGGGCCTGTCCATGTAAAACAATTTATTAGGAACCAAGGAAGACAAGGGTAGAAAAAAGCGAATTGGGATTTCATTATAGCATATGTGGAAGCATTTCCAGCCTCCTGAATCCTGGCCCACTACCTTGAAAAGTAGGTTTGAAGACAATCATAAAACTTCAGAGACAGGAAGTACCTAGCCCAGATTCACACAGCTGGGCAGGGCTGGACATTGTTCCTTCTTCAAGTCTAGAACTTAGACAAAGGAAGATTCCCCTCCCAAGCCAGGGACCCAAGAACAGGAGTCCTAAGTGCTCTGACCAGTAGACATCCTCGGGTTCATTTGGTAGACACTGAAGACATGTTGATTTTGCCTGGAGTTACTAGTTGCTATGGTTTTCTTGGCTTTGTTTATCTCCCTAACACATGCCCCGAGCCTGTGCATGTGCCTCTGGGTCTCTAGTCATTTCCTGAGCTGTGCTGAACTCTCTACTAATCCAGTCTCAGCACCCAGAGGAATGCTGAGCCACAGTCCAAAGGCAGCCCTGGAAGCTCCTTCTAGAAGACAGGTGTACTTGGGGAGGAGACAGGGACCAGCGGCCTCTTGGCCAAGGGTTGGGGCTCCCCTCCCGGATGTAGCTCAGATAGAAAGTGTTCCCCACTCCAGCTTCCCAGCCCCAGGGAGAGGTGTCCCCGCCTCAAAGCCTTCTGGTGCCTCTCAGGTGGGGCGCACCCACGTCATGAGATGGGGCTTAGTTCCCCCTAGCCGCTGCCCTCAGATAGGAATCCGAGCCCTCGGCTGGCATGGAAACCATCACTTGCTGTTGCTAAGAAACCAGAATCCAGTCTGGCAGGTCCTGAGTGGGGGGGGGGCAGGGCTGGGCAGTGGGGGGGGGTGGACAAGTGGAGGGGGCAGGGATGAGGATATGGGCGTGGTCATTCTTGCCCAGGGTCACATGGCTGGGCTTTGGGACAGACTTTGTTTTGAGTGAGTGCCAGTAGCCAGGAGCTGTCTCTTGGCTAGTTTTCTTTTTTTTCACTTTTGTTCTAGGCTGGCACTCTACCTCTTGAGCCACACCCCCACTTTCAAGTTCTTTTTTTTGGGGGGGAGTGGGGCAGCCATGGGGCTTGAACTCCGGATCTGGGCGCTGTCCCTGAGCTCTTCAGCTTCCGCCCAAGGTGAGCGCTCTACCACTTGAGCCACAGCACCACTTCTGGTTTTCTGGTGTTTTTTTTTTTT